GCATCACTGGGACGATGACCATGGGCACTGGGCACCAGAGCTGCCCTCACTGCAGGCAATGTTTTAGGCCTGGGTTCCCAGTGGGCGTCCTGGGTGGCCAGAGCAGGCAGGAGGACAGGATGGGGGACAGCAGCCACTGGGCCAGCCTGTGAAGAACAAAGGTCCCATAGCCAGCTCTGCTGCAGGCTTGCCATGAACATCTGGAGAAGGGTCTTGGCAACAGCAGTGAACTCCATCTGTGCTCTGGCCAAAACACACACACACACACACACACACACATACAAGCAAGGGAGTGCTTTGGGCACAAGCCAAGGTGGTGGTGAGGGGGGACAGTAGTGGCCAAGAGCAAAGCATCTTTCACCTTGAGCCATAAGTGTTTCTCTTCTACAGAGGCTTATTTCATACAGCTTTTTCTGAAGTACTGGACTTTTTTGAAGTGTTGGGTTTTGTTGGGCATGTTGGGGTTTTTTTTGTTTGTTGTTTTTTTTAGGAAACTATTGGTATTATACCCGGAGGAGGTACTAAACTTGCCTTCATTGCACCTGCTTGTTGGAAAGATGCAGCTGGGCAGCAGACAAAATTCCCCAGATGGGTATCAGGAAAACACTTTATTGGAAATAAAGAGGTAGACCTTCAACATTAAAAAAAGAAGGGAAAAAAAAAAAAAAACAACCCAGTCATGGTTCTTTTAGCAGAATTCCTATAAGATAGCAGAGATATTATTAGTAAAAGACAGGTATCAGCAGAAAAATGTTCACAACCTAGCGCTGATGATTTAAGAGTAGTCAGGGATTCAGCAGACATTTTAATGTGCCAGCAGCAGAAGGCTTAAAAATAAGAGAAGTCTGTGATTTAAAGAGAAAGTTATAAATGTTAAAACATCAGTTTGCATCTCACTCTCTTTCTTCCTTGCTGGGTCTGTTGCACACCTATGAAGTGTAGGAGCAGGATTTTTTCTTTTCCTTTTTCTTTTTTTCATTTCAATGGAAAAGTGAGTCTGACAGCCAGCACGTTCACAGTCACAGAGTGAATCCCACTTCCTGCTAGGCACATCTTTCCTGGTGGTGGTTTTCCTGGAAGGGGCAGGTCAGCCTCCACACTGCAATAGCACAGCAGGGTGCTCCTGCTGCCCCTGAGTAGCGGGCAAAGGAAGCCATAAAAAGCCCTTGCTGATGTTTTCCAGAAAGCAGCTATAACCAAAGATGAAGATTTCTCCTGTAAAAATGACACCTTGAACTGTGCTTCATGAGATCTTAGTCAAACACCCTCCTGGTGCAGCCTACCCTGAAGGACACATTCACTGCCAGCAGAGACTAGGTCGGTGCAGCTCAAAACGCACCGTGCCTGTGTCTGCAGCCGTGCATCTGGCACATCCACCCGGACCACCACCAGGAGAGCCAGAGGGTCAGCAGACACGCTGTATATGCTGCTGTGGGCAGCAGCCAAAGGCAGTGTCCACAGGTGTGGAGGACTGAAGTGTCTGCACACTTGCTGTGCTGGTGCAGGGCCATTGGGTGTTCGGTGCCTGCAGATGGTGCTATTTAATTGTTAAAATGACTCCACCTCCCCATCATAAACGGATGCAGGCTTTGCTTTGCAAGAGCAGCACTGGTACTGCAGAGCTGCAGCCACCCAGGGGTGCAATCCAAGTGATCCACTGGGGTGGATTGCTCCATGGACAACAGGAGCAGTAAATCATCCTTCTCTGTGACAATGCAGTTCCTCTTCCCACTCCCTGAATAGGAAAAAAAACACAAAGCACTAATATCAAGAAAAGGCCAACACCTGATGACATGACTTGAGCAAAACTTCCTCTGTTTCAGGGTCAGGGGGTTGCCCTTTTGCAGACAGCAAGACACTCATATTTTAGAAGCTCTCAGGTGCGGTTTTGGGTGCTCTCCTGGGTGTTTGCAGATACGTATACTTAATCCTGAGATGCTCCACTATTGATAAGAAGTACCAATAGACCATAGACAAGACCAGCTGCAAAAGCAGAAGAGATTCATTAGTTGAGCTGAAGCTTCCAGATCTGTAAATGCTCAGCACAGCTAGCAATGCCATTTTCTTCTGCAAGTTTCCCAGAATCTGCCTGACTCCCTAGTTGCCTAAAAGTAACTTTAAAACCCAGTTCAATCCCTTCTGTGGGAACACTCCACCAGCCTGAAAATGATCTTTTACAGAACTCTAACTTGGCTCCTTGTTCTGTCCTTGGGACACAGCCAAGCCATGCAGCCATATGAAACACCCCTCGCTTACCGGAGGTGCAAAGGGCAGGATGTGCAAAGGATTCTGATAAATTCAAAGTGTAAATTTCCAGCCTCTTTCACTGGGCTCCGTACCTTAAAACCACACCATCTTTTCTGCAGCCTTTTAGAGAAAGAGGAAGAGAAGGAAAGAGCAGGAAAGATAGGTGGGGAAAGGAAAGAAAACAACCCAGCAACCTTTAGTATCAAAAGCCTGCCAAGCTGGGATGGGGGTGAGGTGGGGGGGGGGGGGGGGGGGGGAAGAAGTGGAATGAGGAAGAGGACAGAAAAAAAGTCCCTCAGTGTGAAATAACCTGGAGGTGAGCTCTGTTGAAGGTGTGTCAAAATTTCAGGTGCTTTCTGGCATTTGCAAACTTATTTGCAGACATGGTTTCATTCTTTCTTTTCAGGATGTGGGGAAGAAATTATTTGCTAAGCAGAAAGACATATTTGGTACCTACAACAAGGTTTCTCAAATCCAGCTGAGCTCAGGATCTCTCAGACTTACCACCTGCTTTGGAAGCCCTGTTGACATTTCCTACAGTGCTGCTGTTTCTGCTGCAGCTCAGCAGACTATCCCTCCTCACTGATCAAAGGTGTAATCCCTCCCCATCCTGCAGGAACAGGGCTTCTCCTAGAAGTGAAAGAAATTTAAGGATCTCTGATCCCCTACACTGGAGGTGCTGCACACTGTCACTAAAACACCCTCTTTTTAACACTTTGCTGGCTTGCCCTTTGAAAAGTTCCCCTCTGTATGTATCCCGAGTGGTCACAACCCAACATCTGAGAAACAACCGAGTAGCACAACCGTAGCATTAATGCTATCGTAGAATATTTTTTTTAAACCTCACTGAAATCTTGGTTAAGGCATGACTATCCTCTGAAGTCAACAACAATACAGATTAGATATGGACTGAGGCATTGCACTAAGATACCTTATGGTATGGTGATAAGTTTGTAATCAATCAAATTAGTTGTCCTGGTTTTGGCTGGGTTTAGAGTACATCTTAAAACCTTGCCACCTGACAGCTGACCAAAAGCATTAGCTTACTGTAACACAACTCTAATATAAAAAGAGTTTAAGCCACAGACTTTGTCCTCAAACATACTCATCTTGATTTTGATGCCACAGATCATTCTGTGGTCTGGCATTAACAGAGCTGCAGAAACCCACTGCTGAGTTACTTAATTGTTGCGGTGGAAAATTTTACAGCCATTCATAACCCCAGAAGATCTTAATTCCTCACTTGAAACTATCAGGAGACGATTTGAAATATGCATTGACTTAACCAGTTAAGTGATGGCCTGAAGCTGACGAACAAGTAACTTCCACATGATGATGAATGATGAAAATGTAGTTCAGATCTTGAAATTACCAGAGAAAAAAATAGTTTTACTTCAGGCCAGGAATTCAATTTTTCTGCAACTGGGAGAGAGTCAAACATGTTTTCATTATCACTAAAAAATCCCTGTTTACAAATCTAGGAGGATTTTCAATTCACGTACTTTTCCCGCAGTGACAAATTCTCCAGAGGGCTGAAATCCAGAGCTGGCTGGATTCTACTTATCTCCATCACCCTTACTGCCCTCTGTGAAAGGTCTTATTTTCCCTCCTTCCCACTGCTAGCTTGACCGTAAATACTTTTCTGAGGCCTTTGTAGGGGAAGTGTACAGCACCCCAGTTTAAAATAACAAGGTTATATGAAATCCACGTAGCCAAAGGCACATGTTAACAGTAAGGTATCTGATATGTCCCAAAGATTAATGGCAAGAGGCAAAACATTCCCCTGCTGAAATTTTATGATTGCTAGGAGTTCCCAGAAAGATCTTTTCTTAGCATAATGCTATCCATGATTTTTTATTTATTAGTACTACTTTCTGAAGGAAATTCTAAATTAATTTCTAGAAAAAATGGTGCATCGTGATGTGAGCAGAATGTTTATGTAGGACAGCTCACCCACATTCATAAAGGGTGCTCAGATAAATATCATACATAGACAAATTCAAAAATATGCCCTTAGAAATATAAATTTTATCTCTACTACCCTCCCACTGTAAAATAAATAAATAAATAGATATCCAATATCATGGGATCCTTGGACAATGGTAATATTTTGGAGAACATGGTAGATAATAAACTCAGTACAAGCTCCAAGAGCAGCAGGGTGGCAAGGAGTATAGATCTGGAGGCGTGAACATTGGATAACAAAGAAGAACAAGAAGGTGGTGTTCCCTCTCAAAATACAGCATCATAAGGCCACCCCAGACTACCAGCTTTCTGTGTCTTTGCCAATAAATGACAAGCACTCTGTGCTACCTGCTCACACTGAGGATGCTGGCATGAAATGGTCCATTTCTACGCCTGCAAACTATCTTTAATTTCTAAATCACAGTGGCTGCAGATGACCTGCCTGTTGGGAATGGCTGCTGGCTTGTGCTAACCCTAAACTGGGCTCAGACATTGTCTGGCCAGAGCTAATCTGTCTCATTGGTCCAGACCAAAACCACACCAGACCCTGTGCTAACAATTTAACACCGAGGCAATCAAGTTCAAGCTCCCAGAAATGTTTCCTGTTTAATTTACTATTCTAGATGTAGTCAGTGTGTCTAGGCTTGATAGATGCACTGGGAGAACGATTTTGAAAAACGGGAAAAGGCTCAGAAGAAGGCCACAAAAGCAATTTTGTCTATAAAACTTAGTGAGATGCTCAAACAGCTTATTTATTAACTTTATTTAAGGGACCGAAAGGTGTTGACCATGATCTACAAGAGCCCATATAGAAAAAAGGATTTGCTGTAGACAACTACCCTATACTCCAGAAGTTAAAAAGCATGCTGATATCCAGGAGCTAGATAAATTCCATCTATAAATAAGGCACATTTTTAAGCATTAGGAGGATTAACTACAGAACAAATTAACAAGTGCTCTGATGAATTCTTCATAATGTGTGATCCTTAATTTAATTTTTTTCTGAATAAAAAAAATATCTTGTGGATACAACAGATGCTTGGGGGTTCATAAGGAAAGAGTATCTGAGTTTCTTTGACTTGTGTTATACAAAAAGACAGTTTAGATTATTGTACTGGTACATTCTGATCTTGAATCTGATTTGACAGATAAGACTCCATCAATACCTCTAAAGTGTAAGTGGGCAGATTTCCTGCTGGATCTGTGAAAAAAAAAAAAAAAAACAACAGAAAAAAACATTACATTTGTAGTTGTAATCCAAGCTGTGTAACCAAAGAGGAACAAATTAGGCAGAAATTGCTTTCCCTTATTGGTGCCAGCCACTGGCTAGAATAAAACTGCTGTGAAAAACAGAAGTCATTCTTGACATAGCTGTGCAGAAACTACCTTATCTTACCTATATGAATATGTTGCATCTGCCCTTTCTAACTGCTTGAAGAAAGCAAGATCCCCTCTACATGGCACCTACGTCTCACTGAAAGGGCTGGAATTTCTATGCCAAGGAATTTTGCAAAATTTTTGCCCAAGAGATGTTTTCATACCCAACCCAACCCAAACACAGCACAAGCTAAATGGCATGCTCTACGTTACATCACATATAAAAATATAGCCATGATCCATATTATTGTTCTATGAACACAAAAATAGCTGAATTTTGAATAGGCTTTCTGCTCGGGTAGGAAACTGATGACACAGACAGATGGCTTTCTTACAACATCAACTTAGTCACGAGGCAAAGGTGTAGAGGAAAATTCATTGGAGGAAGTTGGAGCAGCAGAGCTCTTATCCTGTCCTTTTCTGTGCAGTAGTTTGTCTTCTGCCTAACATGAAGGGAAAGAGCTGGAGAGTCCTTTGGCCAATGACCACCTCCCATTTTCTTGAGTAGCTGGGGGAATAAAGCTACAGGTACCCAGTGTTGTCCCTTCACAGGTCCTCACCCCTGACCCATGAGGCAACCTGTAGTGATGGCAAGGGGAAAAGCCTGCACCATAACCTCTCCTGCGTATCAGGTCAGGCAGTGAGATGTGAATATATGCTGCACTGTCCAGCTAACTTCTGCTCCCTTCTGGGACGCCACCAAAACCAACTGTGAGAGCCACTGCAGGGTCCCATCCAGACTCATTGCAAAGCACAATCTTTCTTGCTAGCTTCCCATACAGCATCCTGAGCCCTGATGTTATGGGATGGGAGATCTCTGGGCTCTCTTAGGTTACTGGGCTGCCAGGTAGTCCCAGTTGCCAGCACCATTTGCAAAGAAGTTGCAAGCAAAAAGCATTGGCAGCTGATTCTGTCATGTTGAGACATCAGCCAAATGCCCTATAAGCCTACTTGCTTTAAAGAGGTCTGTAATCTTTGCTTTCCAGTTCTTCAGCAGTAGACATTGAGATGATGTTACAAGCTAAGTATCAATTCCAAACTTATCTGGAGCAGCATAATGGAAACATGAATGAGTAACAGCTGAAAACAGGTTAGCAAAAAGAAGTTTGTTGTGATTTCCAGATGAAAGCCTGGAAGAAATACAGTTCATATCCAAAAACGTTTTTATTCCATTACACAAATTACCTCCACACCAGGAATTAGCTAGATATGTAAAGATACCTCCTGCAAAACAAACATAAAAATGGGGTGGGGAAGAGGAGAGAAATCCCTGCAAATCTTATGGGGTTTAAATGGTTTGGTTATATTAATTTGGTTATTGGGAATCCTCATCTTGAAGCAACATCCCTCTGGATCTGTGATACCACATCCTGGCTCTGCACACTTCTTGAGTATCCTCTGACTGGTACTCCATAATGATGACAAACTCCAACCCCTTCTCCACCCACTGGAGACTGAAAGGACTTTAATGCTGTAAATAACTTTTTAAAAACGAGATTCCTCTGAACATTTACATTTTCTGTTGGTGGAAGGTGTCAGGTTAATGATTCATTTATAATAACAAAAAGCCACCTCAGAAGACAAATTTTCATCGCCTTATTTTCGTTGCTGTTAGTACACAGAACTAATCCAGGGTTTATCTCCACAAGTATTTATGATTTTTGTAGTTGGGTGTAATCTACTCAGTCAGTAATTAAATACCTTAATTTTTTTGCACAGATACACTGTACACTTCATATTGTATGACTTATATTGTATAGGTTGTCTTAATTTGGTGTCTTATTCCTTTTATTTTTTGTTGCAGTAGGCGTTTCAGGATTGCCTAATGCCTTCTAATGTTGTATTATGCAGCAAATTATTTCTGATATTTTCTAGATGGTTATTTAGATGAAATAAAACATATACTGAACAATAAGGAATTAACCTCTCAGCATTAACTTAGCATGAAATAGCTGATATTTACTAGGACCACAACCTGCCTCCTAGGGATTTCATGTACCCAGAACAGGTTTCCAAAACTACTCTTCTCAGTAAGCAGCCATTAAAGCACTCTAATCCCAAGTGGTGCAGTAGAAATAAGAGAAGCTTTGCAGCATGTTTAAAGACATTATCCTAATACCCAATAAATCCAACTGAAAAACAATATTAAATTGCTAACATGTCAGCCAAGAAACAAGCTCCATCAGCCAGGGCAGCATAAGCCAGTGCAGGAGGAGCTTCAGCTTTTGCCTGGGAGGTCCATATCAGTGCATAGCACTAAACTTCACAGCTCCCTCCGAAAGTATTTTACCTGCATGCAACAGCAGAAATTGGTGGCTAAACGTCTATATTCCTCCAAAGCCTCACCCTTTTCTGGGATGTGTCACATGCATTTCAAAGTGTCAGACACATGGCTTCTCCAATGCACCTTCCACATGGTCATGTACCAGAGGTGGGTGTTTTATGGTAGACATGGCAGGAGTGACCTCCACAAACACAAAAAGCACCTTCCCCCTGTCACACTTAGCCAGACACTGCTGCTGCTAGCCCACTGTCCCTGTCAGCCTGCAGCATCCCCAGCCACATGCCAAGGCTGTGACTGCTACTGGCCTGAAACCCAGCCTCAAAAGATCAGGGTTGCATGTTTGTGGCACCTCAGGGAATTTTAAGTCAAGCTCAGCTTAACAATCAAAAGAACAGGGCTGTAACAGCCTCTCATCTCCAAAAGCTGAGGCAGGCTTGTGAGTATCTCTGTATTTGAGCCTGAGTTTATCTATTGTCTTAAGGATCTTTCCCAAGAGAACTGGATAAAGAAACTTTGATGGGGCCACACATTCTTGGACTGTGAAATATTTTCTTTCATTCATTTATTGTATTCATAAATAAAAATGCCTCATTAACTGCACAAATGAATTTTCTCTCCAATTATGTTTACCTTCTATTATATATTTTAATACAGAAAATCAAGTAAGCGCAGACATAAAATACTGCACTCTGTTGAACAATCTGTATTTACCTAAAGTATTTTTTCCAAAGTCCATCTTTGTGACACTTTAAAACATTCAAGTTTATTCCTCTTCAGAAGCATCAGATTTCAAAATCTTCAGCAGACTGGAACATTCATCCTTCTAATGACTAGTAATATAAATTCTGCAAACACAGAACTATTATTCATCACAGAGCTCTCTTAGCTCTGCAGAAATGAATAAAATAATTTCTTGAAATACACACATAAAGCAAATCCATGTCTTAGAATGTCTGTGGGTACATGAGATAATATTATAGGCACAGATCTATTCAGGGGGAAGATGTTACTTGCAGACATTGATATTTCTGGCTGGTACCTTGAGAACAGTGGAGCAAGAGGGTGGGTTGGGAGATAAATTTTCCCCAGATCTCTGGATAATCTCTTTTGAGTATTTCTAGCATTTTTGTAGATGTGATCAGTTAAAGATATGAGAGGCAACACTTCTAGGGAGAGATAATCTAATTTGTTAGAGCTCTTGCTATTAGATCATCCTATTTGCTGTGACAGTGTCCTCAGGAAAACAAGCTGGTAACTCTTTGTGGGTGTTGCTTTCCAAGTGTGAGAGTGTGAATCTATTATGCTCCTTCCGCAGACAGGGACAGGGCTGGGGGGGGAAGCAACTTGTTAAAGATGTTGCAGTAAATCACTGGAAGGGCTGTCTGCACCCAGACCTCCCTGCTGCTTGCTGGTTTAGCAGAAGCCTTTACTGACATCCTTGTAAAATTAAAACTTACAGCCTCATTCCTTCAAGTAGTTACAGACACACTAAACTTCAGGCGCAGGAGCGGTCCCGTTAAAGCCAATATGCATACTTGCATGCTTCATGTTGAACCTCTCTTTTGCGGAAGCTCCAAACCACCCCAGACATCAAACCCAAGTGTAAGAGACCCAGAGCAGAGTCACTGACTGTGGACACCTATTGTCCCTCTGCTCTGCACTGGCTGCCGCCTGATCTGCTGACAGGCTCTAAAGCACTGTCTCTGGCCACAATTACATTACCTGGGGATGTCCCTGGCTGTTTGGAAAGCATTAAAAGCTGGAATTCCTATCGTGCAAGAGGCAGCACTTCACAGCACTACAGGATGATAGGATTTGCCCTTCCATCCCTAGGTCTGGCAAAACCCACATCTCACCAGCTCTGGAGCCCACTGCCAAAGGTATTGACCATTGAAGCTTTGGGTAGAAGTTGTGGGAGCTGTGGATTTGAATATAGAGATGGAATATGCTTGAACATGTCTGTCTGCATTTCTTATGCCTCTGGGTAGCTATTTCCTGCATAGGCTGTTATTTAAAATAACAGATAGAGAATTTAGACTTAAAAAGCTATATTTTTTTACTTTAATCTAAAGACATTAATATCATTAAATGATGTTTAATGGAGAAGTACAAAAAGAAAACACATTTAAAGGCATCTGCTCTGCGTCATTAGTGATTATCTTTCAAACTTAGACATTATGAGTCAGATTTTCCTCAGTCAACCTGACTGACAGTTAATGAAACTGCAACCACTTTGGTCATGTAAGCCTAAATGCATTTGTGGAGCTCGAATGGTAACCTGCAAAGTCCCATCTGGCTATGAGCCTCCCTGGGGCAAACAGAGAATAGGAATGAATGGGAGTAGGAAGAGTAGGAAGTAGGAAGTAGGAAGAGTAGGACATTAGGGAGAGTAGGGAGTAGGAGTAGGAAGAGTAGGAAGGAATTCCTTCCTACTTCATATGGAAGTAGGGAGAAATTGGTGAATAAAATTCAGATGGACACAAGCTATGATACCTTATTCCCCAAAGCTTACAGGAATCTTTTTAGCCACTGTACAACATAGTAAAGATTTCTATCTGTTTTCTTTCTTTACAGACTCAGGACAGTAGAGCTAAATTCACAAAAGAAATCCACATACCCATTTGAACCATTTTTCTTTTCAAGTTATATTTTCTAACAAACAGTTCTAAATTTTGCCACAAATAAATCTGACCTGAAACCAGGAGTTGTATTCATTTTGGACTTTTTTCATGTCCAAACCACTGATTCAAAGCAGTTTGGGTACAGCTGTATTAGCATTCTGTGAATTACTTTGTTGTGTAGCAGACTGCAAAAAGAGCAGTCTGAAGGATGCATTAATAATAATGAAGTTGATGGTGTGATGTGATAGTAAAAGGTGGTTTAAGCAGTGTTATTTGGGGTAATCATAATTAGCAGTAGCCGTTTAAAGGTCCCAGCATGCGTTTTGTAAGTAGAAATGTTAACCCTAGGTTCTTGACCAGTTACCAACATAAGCAATTACGTTCTTCCCACAGTTAGTAGTAAACAATCCCTTGTCGCTTCAATTAGACATGGTATTCTTCAGTTTCTCTCTGAGAGCTGTTGAGTAGCATTACCAGTGCTGTTATGAGGCTGCTGTGTTACAGCTGAGCGGTCCCAGTATTTTAGTTATAAATGAAGTGTTCCCTGCTTGTAAAAGGCTTCTGTAGAGTAGTCTCAGAGCACTGCATAAATCAATAAGCAACAGATGCACTTGATATTGTACACTGACTTGAGGGCAGGAGAAAAAAACAGAAGGGAGGAACACTACTGGCAGAAAGATAACACAAGGATATGAATACAACATGCGCACCTACCCCCATGAATGTACACAGGGGAAAAGGGCAAAGGCAAGTAACAGTGGGCTTGGTCCCAGAGGACAAAAACAATAAAGTCCAGAAGAACTGATTTAAGTCTGAATCAACCACCCAGTATCCAAAGGGAGCTTTCTTTCTCTAATTTTAGGCATGGAAATAAGGACAGCTAGTTCCCATATTCCCTTTGTAATGACTGACAAAAAGAAGAGAGCAACAAAAAGCAATATAACCAATATCAATTCTTTGTGTTTCTACAAGATTCCTTAAATTTGTCGATTTCTTGCATGTGGACTGACAACCTTGTTATCATGGTTAAAAGTCCTTCACAGCTGCAGTTAAGGTAGGAAGATCCTCAATTTCTTAAGAACCGTTTGAAGCAGAGGGGGTGGAACCAGATGATTTTTAAGGTCCCTTCCAACCCAAACTATTTGATGATTCTATGAAGAAATCTTACCACAACCTAAACAGTTCTTGAATACCAATTCTATACCCCAGGGGTGTTCTGCAGCAAAATAGTAATGTGACTACATCCCAAGAGATCTCTAGACAGACAACTATTAGTTATAGCCAGAATAAGAATGAATAGAAAGAACACAGTGTTAGGGACAAAATGTCAACAAATAAATATCTCTGGTTTGTCTTGGCAACATGGATCACCCTACCAAATAACCTGAACTCTTGTATTCTGTCCATGTTTCTTCTACTTTTCTACTCAGTCTTTTTTGTGTACTATTGGAATTCCACAAATAGAAACATCCCGCTGTGGTTTTGGACTATATGTAGAAGAAGGAAAACACTACCAGCACGTCATCTGTGAGATCTAGTTTATTGCTAGTGAGGTGGTGGTAAGGTAGTCATAAGGGTTTTGTGTTTTTCATTCTCATAAAAGGCCTTGCTGTTGCAGAAAAGCTGCTCATATGCCTATCAGATTACCTCCTACTGGTTTTCTGGCTCTTTTCCCCTAATACTTGACATTCCCATTGGAGGCCTTTGAATATTCTGGGTAGCATTGTCCCAAACATCCATTTAGTATTATAACCCCATTTGAAGAAAAAACTGCTACAGAGGACAAGCAGTTGTCAAGAAATGAATGGTTTCATCCAGAGAAAGGAAGGCAAGTGATGGAAAGTAATGTTCCTGTTTATTTGTATCTTGTGGTGATGTAGACAAGATGAAAATGTTTTGCAACAGGTCTGCTTCCACCTCTCCTGCTGAGAGGGATAAATGGATCTTAGAATCTTTTTCCCCTTCATTCCTATAGTTGCAGAAATACTGTTTTATTCAGGACCTGAGGAAGATGGAAGGGGGGTCTTAATGCAGAAAGAGCAGGACACTAACTGTAATATATCCCAGAAGTCCATTTGTCCATTCATTCCAATACTTGTAACTTCAGTACTTACAGGAAAGATGAACTCTTCTGCCCTGGTCAATAGAGTGTTGAATGGTGTGGAATAAATGATAGATCACCTATACAATTCTAAAGATATCTACCCCAGATGGTACCTAATCTACAGCCAGCAGGGAAAGGAGATAAATTTACTTTACATTTAGATAATAGTGTCAAAACAAAAAGGTAGAGAAATCAGCTGGCAAAGAGCACAGGAAGCAAACATGGAGATGAATATTAAGAAACCAGTTGCCCATACTTTCTGTAGGACTGTAATGACCACAGATGATTACTGTGCTTGTAACTGGGTAATCCCCTCTTTGGAACAGCACAGGAAGGGTCCTGCTGCCTCTTTAGCCAACAAACCTGTCTAGGTGGTGATCCATCTCCACCTCAGAAAACAGAGAAGCAACAGATATTCCTGGTGTAGTACCTGACATAGGCACAAACAATGGTAAGTAAAAGCAGATTTTTGCATATTTTCTTTGAGTTTCGCTGAAAGGTAAAACTCAGGATCAGGGAAGAGATGACAATGAACTTCTCTGAGGCTGAGGAAAAAGGTAAGCTGTGTCATATTCAGATACATAGTTTCTCACAGTTCTCTGTGCAATTAGGTAATAAATACATAGGAAGGGTGTGTCTTCTCCAGGAAACCTGGTTGGGTTAGACATAAATTACAATAGCGTCACTCCAATAATGAATAAGAAGCACATTTAACACTAATGAGACAGCAGAACGGTAAGGGATGCAATTGGGGAAAAATTCTTCTGTTTCTCAAAAGCAAAAAGTGATGTCCGTATTACCATTAAGGCATTATACACAAAAACCTCCAATAAATTGCAGGTCTAATTTACAGGTCTCATCACTCAGGCCTCAGGAGCCCTAGTGCCAGAGCTGCATATTACTGGATCCCTCAGCAGAGCTGGCTCAAGCTGCAGTGACGCAAAGTCTCTGCCAAATTACTGAGATCATGTAACCTTGTTAATTTTACCAGTATGAGGCAGAGATATGCTGTTTGCTGTCCCACACTGCATCTAGCCTGCTCCCCTGCAACCTCATACACTGCCAGAGCTCTTTTGTTACAATGATTCTTACAGTGTCTGTGTGGTTCTGTACTTGATCATCAGACTAGATGGAGGGCCAGACAGGAATATAATCCTCACTGTGTTACCTGGATCCCCTTCATCTGAACAATAGTCCTGAACAATATCCATGACATGAGGAAGAGAAGACAGCTGGTGGGGCTTTGGCACATGGAACTAGATCTCTCTGGACCAGCATACACCACTGAGCTTAGGGGAAATCCTGGCTAATTATGGGACATTCACTGGGGCTGCTGGTTATAACTCTGTGCAGAAATGAGAAGGAAGCAGTAAGTCTTTCCACACATACTGCATTTCTTGAATTTTTCACATTCAACCGCTTTTGTTCTAGGCTTTCTGCAACCCTTGATATCCCATCCTCAGAAATAATCATCTCAACACTGTTTAAGTACAAGCAGACATTAAAAGGATTTAATTAAAAGAAAGTGGAAACCGGAGGTGGCGGGGGAGAGGAGGGAAGAGAGAAAGAAAAAAGAAAAATAAAAGAACTTTGGACCTGGAAAACATGGGCAACAGAGAGCAGTGGGGGAGAAAGTAAGGAGACAGTTTAGCAGCTAGGACTACAAATCCTTCTCATTACCTTACAGTGCTTCCTGAATCATCTCATCTCCATTGCTCCAAGATACGATCCCTGGCAGACTTGGTGCTACATTACTGACTTGGTCTAGAAAATGTAGTTGGAGAGGATGATTAAAGGTATGAGGGATGTCAGGTGCTGAAGAGCCAGGGAATGACTTTCCTATACACAGTGCGTTTACCACCTGAAGTATCTCCCAATGCCCATCCCACTTCACAAGTGTGGCATACAAGAGAAGAACAAGAAACTCTGCTTCAAGCTGTGAGCAGCAGTCACCCATAACGTGCTTCCCATGGCCAACCAGGCAGCTCCCACTTCCCCCAGTACACTTACTCCTGGGCCACCACAGAGCAGCCAGCCTCCAGGATGGGGTGCACACCTGGGCCTTGCTATCTGGTTTCAACCACAGGTTTCTATTCTCCTTGAGCAAGAAAATGAAGCCACCATCCTCCCCCCAGCTGTGTTCCTCCACTGGGTTATTTTAGGATGATTGCCACTAGCATCTCTATGCTGCCTGGGCTAGCTCTGTGGCAGATGTCTTTCTGCAAAGGTCTCTGCACTATACCTCTGATTCAATGCCTGGGCATCAGTGAGAGACAGACAGGGATGAAAACGCATCAGCTGCCTTTGGGCGCTTTGGGGCAAACTGGTTCCCAGCACTGGCAGAGCTGATCTCCAGAACAGCTCTTTTGCTACCAAGACTCTGGACAACTGGGTAGAAAGAGACTTTAGCAGGGAAGCCATCTCAGGGCTGGTACAAGGAGCCATACGGCACTGTGCTGAGCTGCAGTGCAACTGTGTGAGCTGTGATACACAGACTGAGGCTGAAGGAATGATTGGTGAGGATAGAGAGTGCTAAGTAGAGGCCCAGGCTAGTTTCTCTTCATCAAAGCATTTTCCTGTGCGTATACACACGCATGCACACACACGTCTGTCTGCATTCAGGTGTTTTAATTGCTCCTATAGACCTCACAACAGCCAAAGGAACATTTCTGGGACCAGGGATCTGCTGGATTTCCTGGGAACCTGAGGCTAGAGGGCCAGGCAGTTTCCCAGGAGATGTTGGGGATCAGCAGGTGGAACAGGCCTGACCAGACCCTCCAGACAAGTAGGGAGGATCAGGTGTACATGTTTTGGGCAGAAGAGCCTCCCTGTGAACTATTTGGCTCTGTCAGAGATCGGAAGCGGTGTAGAATGGAGCAGTTGAAGAAGTAGCAGAGGTATCAGTGCTACACTGCACTTGAAACATTTTCAAAAGAGGGTGGAGAAAACATGGGAAATGAGCCTCTCACCTGGGCTCTGGTAAGCTCTGGTGGCTCTGTCCTCAGTTTTAGGACCTTCCTGTGGTCACCTGGGAACAAGAAGACACTCAACCACGCTCCTCAAGGGCCTTCTCTCCCTCAAGGCTCTGGTCCTTATCCTTGGGATTCCCCTTTTTGGGGGATCAGGAGGACTGGCTCTGTTACTGAACCACCACTGCACTCATGCACCTCCTCATCTTTCGCACTCCAGTCAGGTTTCCTGTAGCACAAGCAAGCTTTCCCTGCCCTGATGCTGGACAGGCCACTGACAACCTCAGTCCTCTTGCAGGTCTTCTAAGGACAGCCAGCCTTGTCTCTGTGCTGTTCCCTCACTGCCCCTGCTGAAGCATCTCTGCAACAAGGATTCAGAAAGCGGCACCTTGCTGCAAAACAGCCTTCCTACCCAGAGCCCTGGCAGGACTAATGCTGCTACCTCTATCTCTATCCAGTGTGGACTCCACCAGGCAAGACTGGATCAGGAAGATAAGAATGTTGTATACAATGCATGGGATGCCTTGCATTGGTAATAAGGTGCTGTCTTCGGAAAATCCGAAGTCTTTCAGTGGTGCAGAAATCTAATACAAAACAGGAGGTCTCATTCAAAGAAAAGCAAAGAAAGGCACATGCAGACATCAGCTGCAAAGCAAGGTTCAGTGCAGATCACCATAGCTAACAAAAGCCCCGTGGAGGCAAACTTTAAAAAGAAAGTGAAAGCACAGGGCTGAAGAACCGCAGCCAGTGGAGGGCATGATTCTGGGTGGCAATGAGCAAAAGGTGTTGCAATAACTGTGGATATTTAGATTGGGACAGGCAATACTGATCCAGTATAAAGTCTACTGACAGAAAGTTGATGCTTCGAAACTGGTAGAAGGGGTTTACACACAACTGGCATTTTGTATCATAGGTTCAAGGCTTTTTTCACCACGTACTAGATGTGAGTTTTAACACATCATCACATCACACCCTCACACTGCTGAAATATTCATATATGCTTAAATACCTATGTACACATATATAAAACAAGAGGCAACACCACCCCAGAAGTCTGCATCCTCTGAAGCCAGATACTGCAGCTGCCTAGTAATGCCTGGCAATTATCATCAGTAGATGGAAATACTCTCTTCTAGAAAAACAAGCAAACCTACATTTTGCAAGGAGAAAAATCCAACTGTGGAAATCAGTTTAAAGGATGTTTTTCAATTAAAAGCATTGTAAGGTACAATAAAATACCTAGAGGCTTTGTTAGAAGGCCCTAGATACACAGTTTTCAACTAGTTACTGCAAGGGAATGTGGGGAGCACCAGCAAAAACACCTCTGGAGAACCAAAAGCAACTTTCTTCAGCTTGGAAACTAACTTTGAACTGCAGGCAGCCACACCAGGAAGAAAGAAAGCATTTTATTTTATCTTTATTGTATGCACCCTATTTTGACAGTTTTCAAGACTGTTTGGGGAAAAAATTGATTTGATCTACCTGGATTCTCCACCTTCATATAGATATGCCATTTACTTTTGCACTGACAAACATTTTTTTGTGTTTCTGCTTCTTACTGTGATCCTGATGTGTAATGTGTGCACTACACTCTGAGTTTGATCTAGGTGATAGGAAATAAGGAGCAGGTAGAGCTGATGAAGGGGCTACTAAAGATGATTGAGGGAGTACAAGGACATAAAGACAGTAATTTCTTTATAACAGAAGTTTTCAAGTTTGATTTGTGGACACTTAAATGTTTTCAGTTGGGAGGTTTCAGAATCTTGTAAATTGAATGTAAGTGCGCTGACAGTAGGCTGGCTTGGTCTGCTTTGACGGATCCCCTAAGAAGCAGTCTGTAGGTTCACAGAGATACCTTGACCACAAATTGAAAAATCCTGCTTTACAAAACGTCTTTCTTACATGTAAGTGGGACAACCTAGGACAGATAGGAACATGTATGCCACTAAGTCCAGCTCGAGTTGCCATGTGCCCAGTTAAAAAGCAGCTGAGTTAGCTGCAAAACTGAAAGTTGAGTGCCACTGGCTCTCCCTGACAGCCTTGCATGCTGCATAGGTTGAAGCTTAACTTGACTCAGGGAAGGATCTTTTGTGTGTAGACAGGATGGAGTTTGGGTCAGACTCGCTACTAAAACGAAACTTTGGCACCTGGCCTTATTTTTTAAGGCTGATACTGTCATTACCTGCTCTTCTGTTTCACATTTTCTTTTACCAGAAACCTATTGAGAGGTTGGAGTGAAACTTCTCTAGGTCTCAGGGATTGTGGTTTCATGTAGCCTGCATTTCTCTTCTCTTCTGGTGATGGATGGCAATCCAATTCCTATGTCAATTGTCCAGTGTAGCTGAGAAAATTATGTATTCAGTAAAATTCATTCCCCAAGTAGTGTAGTTGAAGGGATCCTGACCCTAAATTTATTCATTAGCTTAAATTGTCAACAATTTTCTGTAGCAATTGATTCCTTGACCCTCAAGTACTCAGGAGCTGTCAACATATGCAATGTGAGGCTAGCACTTACTGAATTATGGCAGTTATACTACCAGAGGTTTGCTTCTTTCTCCTGTGCAGAAGGTGTCCGCTGGTTTGAGAGAGACTTCCTACAGCTTACCATCAACTCCTTCCTCTGCCTCAAAATGCAAAACCAGTGGAACCAGGAGTGTTCTCAAAGCAGAAAGATTACTTTCAAGTCTAAATCACTGATGAAATTATCTTTAGGTCATAGCAAACCATCACAATGGGAACTGTGAGTCTGAAATCTTAAATTCAAATTCATAAATGATGACTGAAAAAGGAAAATGAGAAACATGAGCTCACTTGGACCTTATATGTCAGGATGTCAGCAGGTGAACAGCTGATGAAAATATCCCAAGATTTTTCAGGCCCACGACCACCTTATTTAGACAGGACAGTTGCTGGACAAAAGATTTCCTTTGTTCTGAAATTGATACACACTCTTCTTTCCAATCTCACCCTCATGTGCACATTAGACAAAAAAAACCCAGACACTGCGACTGCTGGGATACACAGTAAGACCAATGGGCCAGTGTATTTAGAATCTTCTAAATACAGAGATACATCCCGACAATTTTCCTGAGTCTAAGTTAGTCTGGACCTGGTTAATTTGCTTGGCACCATCCACCTTGTTTCCACAACTTGCTAGGGAGCTGTGTTCATCCTCTTCTACCCATCCTCTGAAATTTCTCTGCTCTCTGAAGTGCAGTGCTGGTGTACAAAGGGCATGAGTACAGACGTGGGTGCCTTTTCTGCAGCTGAAGTCTGTTCTTCCTCAGGCTATGGAACCACTTCATATATGGCAATAAAAGGCTGCAAACACTACATGTATTCTGACAGCTGTAGAACCAGATTTCAGAGATATAAAATTTTCGTAATTCATATCTCTCTCCCTACATACACACGTTTTGTCTTTTGATAGCAAAATGTGGCCTGCAGTCTATGTAAAAGCATTGCTCACTAATGCTCTGTGGCAGGATAGCATATGACACATATTCAGTAAGTACACACATATCCACCCTCCTGGCATAGAGCAAATAAGAATTCTCAGGCAGGGATAAGGTTAAATTACTCTAATGGCAAAGCGAAAAACATCTTAAAGAGAACTAATCTAAAGTGATGGTTTGTCTCTCGCACAGTGAGAGGGATATTTAATTGCTGCACACAGAACGGCATGCTTTTCTGATCCAATAAAAGGAATAGCTTCTTTCTGACCAGAAAAATTCAGAATCCTTTCCCCAAGCAAGACTCCCACTGAAGCAGGCAGTTGCAGAAGGAAGATTTGGCCCTCACTGCATGAAGCAAATAACCCATCTAATTCTCTAAGCAAGGCAAGCACACATGAAGGAAGCAAGCCTCTCCCCAAGACTTAGTTGTTCTCTTAAGTTTCTAGAAATGTTGATGCTTTGGCATCATATAGGACAGAAAGGTATGCAGATTTCTGAGCAGTGTTTATGCCCAATGCTGGAAATAAATAGGACAGCTTTACAAAACATCAGCAATTACATTAAAATATATAATTGCTAATGGCTCCTCTGTATATTTAGAGAAAGCATCTAACCATGTTGTTTCAAATCTGACTATATTGTTAATGTATCAATAAACAATGACAAAATATACATCATCTCTAAAAGAAGAAAGTGCCTTGCACACAACATCTCCTTGCACAAAACGTGTTCGATTTATAGATCAAACAAATCAAGTTGCTTATATCCCTGCCTTAAGGGCAGTGTCTGCTTAAGGACATTGCTTGGGTAAAATATTTGAATGCAACCTAGAGCAAAGGTAAATATGTAGGACTAGATGGTCATACATATTCTCCTTGCATATGAGAACTGACAGGGTGTGGGGACTTGACTGGCCCTGGGAGACCTAAACATTTTACATAATGTGGTCATAGATGGATGGTTCATCTTGTCTATTCTAAGCCATAAAACTAGAGGTTAAGAATTAATTTCAGTTTTTCTCCACCTCTACCCAAGATAGCACATTAGAAAGAACACTTTTCTATTGCATTTCTAGATGCATTAGACACCTGAAATTTAAAAATTTGCACTAATTAGCCTTTAAGTGCCTGATCATTAGAACGGAGAGCTATCACACGACAGCCATCTAAATGAAGATGCTGACAGAGAAGGAAAAGAAGGTTCTACCAGAAACTTTCTCTGTCATCCTACTGGAAGGGTGTTTCAAAGTAAAGTAGGTTGTTTTTTACCTTCACTACAGCAAAAGATGAAGGTCCATTTGCTCAGATGCTTTATCCTTCACCACAGTCAGGACATAATGTTCCTCCCAGTTCCAGGACTTTTATGCTTTCTTGTTCATCCCCAGACATTCAGGTATGATCTGGGGTGCTCAGCTAACAGGTTTCCTGGTAAATATAACCTTTACAATAATTTCCTGACATACACAGACCAAAGATCAACCTGGAAGGAATCCTGAAGATTCTGTCCTGTAATAGACAAGGGAACAGAACTTTTATTTCAGGGGCTCCTAGCTGCTTTCAGGAGCTCTATACTTGCTATAAAAGTATTACAAGATAAAGCTGCACATGACTTGTTACCATGAGGATTTAGCACTCCTATGAAATTATCTGCTAATTTAATCCAACCACCTGGAGCAGATGCCAGGACTCGTTCTGAACATCTGGGGTAGACCCAGCTGTAGGACCTGACTTGCATCCAGACTTAATGGTCTAGATTAGCACCAAAGGAATGCCTAGATCTGCCAATACCA